TCCTTAGAAAAGTTGGACTGGAAATCCCCTTTCAACCAGCTATTCCTCTACTGGGAATTTTCCCAGAGGATCTGAAAACATCATATCATAGTGACATATGTGTGCCTATGTTCATAGCAGCACAATTTGTGATAGCCAAATCTTGGAAACAACCAAGATGCCTGTCACCTGAGGAATAGATGAAAAAGATGTGGTATTTTTATACTGTGGAGCATTACTCAGCTATATAGAATGATAAACTCGAAGCCTTTATATTGAAGTGGATGCCACTTGAAGATATACTCATAAGTGAAATAAACAAGACACATATGTATAAATATCATATACTTTCCCTAGTATAAGAAATCAAAAGAAGAAATACAAATAGAAAGGTATAATACAACCAAAAGGAAAGCAAGAACTTGAGAACTAGACAATGAAGTGAGAGGAAGGAGAAGAAACATGAGAGTGGCAAGCCATACAGTTATATGTATAAAATGGGTAAGGCAATGATCCTGAGAATCTTCAGAAGATTTTTAAATCTAGCAGTTGATTGGAAGGATTCTCACCCTGACTAACTATATATTCTGACACCTGTGAACTAAGCAACTGCACTGAAGATGGCCATTTGTATTAGTAGGTTTATGCTTGGAGTGCCTGTCATTCTGGTCTTCTGAATATGGGCTGCTTGTCATGACATGCCAGTTGCTACTGTGCTGTCTCTCAGGTAGATGATTGTTTAAAAAGGAAGGGGGTGGGTAATGAAGGCAGGAGACAGGAAAAGGAGTGTTGTAGGACTATCTTGCTGCAATGTTGTATATAGTTAGATTTCTGGACTTATGTGCAAACATATATAATTCTTTATTCCTATCTCTTAAATATATTTTAATTAAAATTTTTTTCATCATATTCTATAGAGACTGAAAGTTTAACATATCAATACTTGATGAAAATCACCTGTTCCCTGTTATGCCTAAGATGTTTGATATTCAGACAGACAGTGAGGTTAAGCTCAACAGCCTAGGTTGTATGGTAATAACAATAAGCTTCTCTTCTGGAGGGTTAACAACCTAAGTTTGCAGACCAAAAACTAGAAAAAAAGGAGGCCACAAGGAAAGCCAACATTTTGGCCCTAGCCTTCCAAGGTCAACTAAGATTCAGGACATATGAGAACTTGTACTGTAACGTCATGTAACTCAGTAGTGTCCCAAATTTTCTGATCAAGGAGATTATGGGAGCAAAGAGGAAAGTGATCCATGATGTAGAGTGTGCCTAACGAGAGTCACATGGGGAGAAAACATTCTCTCAGGCTTTCACAGAGAGCACATTGGCCAAGCAATGGCCGTGACTCATCCACATGGCTGACACTGACAAAGGATCTACAATCTAAGCTACAGGGTCTCAGGATACATTCTGAGGGGATTTGACTGAATTTATCACACCCAAAAGCTACAATTCTGCTTACATAGGTCTTGCTTTATCTTGGTCTTAACCATCTAGCAAAAAAGTATAAAAACGAAGTATAAGAAGTAAAGCCATACTGTTATGTTGAGCTGTAGGGGACTCGGGTCAACAAATTCTGACATTGCCAGTCAAGTGGAAGACCCAATACTATTATGGACTACTGGACTATTTTGTAATATTTTGCTGTGTTCACACACCTATAATATTTAAATGATGGAACTAAACAAAAAAGGGGATATAGATGAATGACCGTTTTGTATCTGTGTATTCAAAATGGTTAGGATAGATATATAGCTACATTCTCTTAATTCAATGAATAGGGGGATTTGTTCTAATAGTGTTTGTAAATAGGATATCATGTCTGCATCTTGTACAACCTGTAGCCACTAGGAAGACAGTATGCAATGTGTTAATTATTGGAACTATCCTACCAATTAGATTTGAAAGTGTCTTATTGCTATTTATTTCTCAATAAAATTATGGAAAAAATGGTATTTTCATTTCTTTACTTATATTTTCATCACCAGATGACATTTGATCTAAAAGAGACATTTCCTTAGCAGTGTTGTCACATTATAAAGCTCCTCATGTTTTTTACAAAACATAAATTATTCCACCTTGTGAAGACTCCATAAGTAGCCAGATTTTTATTGTTCAACCTTATGCTTCCACATGCCTGATCATTCAAGTGGAAGAATTTAGTTTCAATATTTTTCTTTTGTTTTTGGCATAACCAGGGATTGAACTCAGGCCCTTACACTTGTCAGGCAAGCACTTATTCTACTGAGCTATCTCCCTAGCACTCCTGGTTTCAGTTATTAATAAATTCACATATTTTAAAGTAATCACTTCTTTTGGGGACCCTCTTCTTTTTTCTCCCACATTTCATGAAATTTACCTTTAAGTTGAAGAAATGCTCAGCTACCTTATGCTGTGTACTCTGAGTCACTCTTGACCAACACCGTTTTCCCCTACCTAGGAAGATTTAATTATCCTTTAAGTTCATTTCTACGTACAGCATTTTCAGCAATATAACCTTCAAAACAGAGCCTCTATTCCTCATCGATGGGATATTCCTCAGAATGAAGCAGACAGTTACATACAGGATACTAAGTCACAGATAAATTCACTAAACAGACTCACCAGCAGTGCCCAGGAAGACAAGGAGGAGCAAGGTCTTCATGGTTCCTCACTGGATCAGCCTTGGGGAATAGGATGAAGACTTTGCGTGCACAGGTATTTATACCTCTAGGTTTGGCACCGACTCCCATGGCCACAGGTACCAGAGAAGTGATTTCAGTGGAAAGAAGGAAATCTAAATTTAGAATTCAATTCCATGACACCTGGAACATGACCCAGCACCAAATTTAGCTATCAGCAAATGTCCCCTTCCCTAGAAGGTTATAGGAACGGAAGTAATGAACACACCTATTGGGAATTGTGCCCCAGACTTGCACAGTAAGTGGACATGAGGCCACGGGACACAGCCAACAGTTTCTGGATTCCCTGATACAATCTCAGGGACTTTGTGACTCAACTGTGGACTTTTGTGGAAAAGATGCTCCTAAACCCTGAACCCCTGAGTTTAATGAACATTTTGGTTTCTTTCCCCAGCCAAAGCAGCTGTTTTACAGTAGTTCTGAGCTACATGTCCATGATAACTTTTCAGTAGAACTAGCAGGAAATTCTTATCCTGAAACATGAAAATGTTTTATCATTAGAAAATGTAATAAATTAAAAAGGTGATAAATAATGATGACAACTCATAATTATCTAGAAGTTAAGGTATCTGAAGTTCATAGTGATCCTGCCTTTCTTGTAGTTTCATTTTTCAAAGATTTGGGTAGGCACACTGGCCTACAGACCAAAATCATTAAGTATGAAGGCTCTAGAAATCAATAATCTGTTCATTTTAAATTTTTGCATACAGTATATTTTTGCATTTCTCTTATTTCAGTATAGGTTGTTGTGAATTTCTTGCTAATTTTTTTATTAATTTTGTGGCATATACTTATGTACTGATAATCTTCATGTGCAGAATTTCATACTATATACAGATTTAGGCAACTTCTGTGAGTAGGATGTTTTTGCCATATAGAAGTGGGGACTTACTGTTTAGTTCTATGCTTTTATTAATTTCAGTTGTACAGTCCTAAAAGGTGCATATTATATTCGCAAATTCACAGAATTGAAATCTAAGATGGCAAAGTCTTGGGAACTTCACCAAAATTTCTCAGCAGGAGCACAGACTGAGTATTCAATTATGGTTTCCGAATCTACTATTTTACCAATAACAAAATTGTTTGTGAATAAAAAGGAACTGAGGTTAATAGGATGGTTACTGCTCTTTAAGCACCTCTCAGATTGTCTCCATCCATCTCCTCATTCAGTCTTTGATAAAAACATGTTAATAATGGAAAAATAATTTTCATGAGGAGGGAATCTCAGTGAGAAAGAAACACATATTATTCATAGTAGCCAGATTCCCAAGCTTCATATTTAAGTTTTTACTCTTACTGGAGGTTATTTTGACGCAATCAAATTTTGCAAAATCTAGCTTTTATCAAGAATACTGGCAGGCCAGATAGCCCAGAAGACTAAAGAGCCTGCTTGGCAGACACAGGAAATGGGTTCAATCCCTGGCATGCCCCCGGGGCGTGCTGAGAAGGTGACTGAGGCTAGGCATGGTGCTGCGTGCCTGTAATCCCAGCACTTGGGTGGTTGATAACAGGAGGATCACTATGAATCTGATCTGCGTAGTGAGACCCTGTAGACCCAATACATCTTTCAAAACAAGAATACTTAGTGCAAGGAAAAGATTTGCATCCTTGAGAAAAGCCACATTTGAGCCAGGCATTACTTTTATTCAAACTACAGTGTCATTGATAATAAGCTCCATTATGTGGCAAATGTTTGATATTTGAGTTCTTTGTATTTCAAACTCTGTGGAGTCTGTGGATAATGAGACAATTTGTATCTCGTGTGTGCTGATTTTGCTGAAGGCAGTTGTGCTTCCCAATGATAAAACTAGATCAGTTACAGGATGAGAAAATGTGTTGCTATATACCAGGGCTGGAAAAATGATTCATTCAAAAGTAGGATTCCCTCAACATCGCAGGAAGTAATGTGGCCTTGTTGGTATGAAAATTGAATGTAATTTATTCTGAACACCCTCTTCATATTCAAAGGATTGACATTTTAATTGTAACACTAAAATCATACTAATAGTATGAATATTTAGCTTAAAACAATTCTTTTTTTTTTTTTTTTTTTTTTTTTTTTTTTTTTTTCAGAACTGGGGATTGAACTCAGATCCTTGACGTTTGCCAGTCAAGCGCTTATCCTACTGAGCCATCTCCCCGGCCCCTAAAACAGTTCTTTATTCAATACCGGGACCTGCATGCCGAAAGGGCCCTGCCCCTGGGGCGTGCTGAGCCTGTGACTAAATCGGGGCGTGGGGGTGAATACCTATAATCCCAGCACTAGGGAGGCTGAAAACAGGAGTATCACTAGCAGTCCAAACTGCGTAGTGAGATCCTGTAACATATACATAAATGAAAGAAAAAAAAGCACTAGTTGATTGCGATAAAGAATGAGAAAGTTTGTGCTAACATGTTGATCATGACATGTACCGAACTGACAGAAAGTTTCTAGTTTATATACCCGCAAGAAAAATATATATGTATAGAAACATATATTAAAATAGGTAGTTGAGGCTCTAAGTACAGATATTACTTCATTCTCCATACTCCAAAAACTCATAACCATGATGTTTTTAGCCATATTATTTTTCCCTGCCAATCCCCCATTATGTCAATTTGACTCTTTACAACTGATCTCCTTCTGCTCCTCATTACAATCAATTCTGATGTTAAAAGTTCCTATTTTCTTTCTTTCTTTTTCTTTTCTTTTTTTCTTTTGGTATTTAGTACAGTGTCTATAGGGACTGCAGGGTTTCACTGCGTAGATCCTACTCATAGTGATTCTCCTGTTTTCAGCCTCCCAAACGTTGGAATTACAGGTGCCTGCCACCACCCCCAGTCTCATCCCCATCTTAGTGCGCCCTGGGGATGGGACCGGCACTACACGCCGGGGATCGAGCGCTGGCCACTGTGCTCTGCCTAAGCAGACACTTTGGTCTGCTGAGCTATGTGGCCAACCCAAAAGTTCCAATTTTCTGATGAGAGGACATTTCTTTTAAAATTGCAAGTAAATTCAACAAACAAGAAGTTTTTCTGGGAAAAATTATTGTTTTGGTTTTTTTGTTGGATTTCCACTAGAAGTTAGGAACTATATATATATATATACAGATCATCTTTATTCAAAGATAAGAATATATATATATATCCTCATCTTTGAATAAATAGCTATTGCTTTAGGTCTACCTTCATTAAACTTGTCTAAATGTTCCCACCACAAAAAGAAAGATTGTTTAAATTTTCCAACTTCACTGTGAAGTTTTTCTTGCTTTCTTTCTCTTTACTCTAAGTCACCTCCTCAATCCCCACCTCACATGTACAAACATTCGTCTTTCTGTTGAAGGACAAATACAGCCTGTGAAATGCCAAGACGAGGGAGATACATGAGAGATGAGAAACCAGGCAGGCGCTCAGCTAATGTACGAAAATATTGGCACAGCATGTGTCCTCAGTGACATCCAGTAAATATGTTTCAATATATTTTATTTTTTCAAAATTAAATAATTAATTAATCTATTTATTTAGTTATTTATTTGGTACAAGCTCTCACTATGTAGCTCAGACTCACACTGGTCCTCCTGTCTCAGCCTCCCCAGTGCTGGGATTACAGGCGTGCGCTGTCATTCCCAGTTTCGGGTCTGGTACGGCACGAGGTACCAAAGATCAAACTCCCGTCCTTGTGCTTGCCAGGCAGGCACTTGGGCCCTGAATATCTCCCCGGCCCCTTAATATCTGTTTTAGTCTTTTCAGTCTCTTGTTGTCTTTAAAGAACAATTTATTAAAATTTGTAACTATCTCTTAATATGAAAATTCTTTATACTTTTATTGATAGAAATTTAAGTCTTGGAAATTCATACTCCTAGCATATGCACTAAAGGGCTAAAAGTGGACATCTCATGTATGTATTCTGTTGCAAGAGTGTCCATATAAGGTTTTTAGAATACACACATGAAGTCTGGGAGTAGAACTTTTTCACAGATTATTTGATTCCCTAAACTTTAATCCCACTGCCTTATTTCTCTTTCTGCCCTCTATTCTCACTGAGGTCATATTTAGCATAGGGACACGGTCTTATAATCGCAGCATGGTTCTGAAGTCATAATTTTCTTTTTCTTTACAGCTAGATAGAGATACATTTGAATTGAGAAAATTACATGGAAATTTCTCCTTCCAGAGGCTATCACAGCTGACTTCTTACAGTTTTGACCTATGTTAAGGTAATCACTTCCAGACCTTTCATCTAGGGAAGAAGTCCAATCGTGATGAGTGGTTTCAATTCAGTGGGGTGACACACTCTCAGAGCAAGGGGCAGAGGTTTCGCTGTACCATAGATGTGACCTATGTAGTACTGTGTCTCTTAGTGACTACAGGAAATTGCTTTCAGCTTTTAGGTCCTTTTTCAGAATTCCAGTTAATATATGCATCTAGGTTGAGTACATACTCCAGCAAACTCTAAATCATTTCTGGATGATTTATGGTACTTAATACAATGCAAATGCCATATAGATCATTGTTATCTTTTATTTTTATGAAATGAAATTAAAATAAATCTCTGTGTGTCCAGGACATCTGCAAAGCTTAAAAATCATTTTAATCATTTTCTAGTGTGCGAGTGGTTCAGTTTGTTGATGCAGAACCTACAGATTTGCAGTGCTAATTTTTTATTTTGATTATGAAAAGATGAATTAATGACAATGAGAGGAAGAGATATCATAATATGAGCCCATTACCAATCATGTCTTTTGTATGTTTATCTTTATTTTATCTACCTGCCCTAAAAATAAAGAATAAAGTCAAACGAATATGTATATGGAATATTCAAAATAAAAGCAGCATGCCCCTCATGGAAAACTTTAATAATTCTATTGATTTGTCAAATCTCATTTTCATCTTGTATGGTTTTAATGGGTTTTTTCTAGTACTATTTTTATTATCAAATCTGTTGCCCAGATTGACAGATTTAGTCATGCAACATTGGGAAAATAATTGAATATTGGTGTGTTTTAATTTATTTCATAGAAAATATGAAAATTGATTAGACATGAGAAACGGTACACACTTAGAAGACCAAGATGAGCGGCACTCAACCCTGGGTTTTTATTACACATTGCTGCCCTCGATGTAGCTGCTCAGACTGCAGATATCAGCATACAGAGTTAGTCAAGGTGAAAATTGCAAACATTAACTGCTCGTTTCAAAACACTGATGTGAATTATGATTCAATCATCTCTACTACATTTTAACATAGAAAACCACTTGAAAGGTTGTGAGATCTCTGAAATATATTTATTGTTAGGAAATCTGCAGTTCACAAACTAAGCACCAATAATAATGAGAGAAACCTGGAAGGTTTGCAGCAAATTTCATGAACTCTAAGTAGGCAGTGTCCCTGAATCCAACATTCAGGCTGTCTAGAGAGTACTGTGCAGAAAGTACTGAATGCCCGGGAGAGATGGAGGGAGGCAAATAGATTCATTGCACACTGATCTGAAGAAGATGCAGAGGCTACATCATCAAAGGCACTTTTTAGAGTAGATCTGTTCACAAAGGACTCCTACTGGGAAGGAAGGGCCTGACATCACCTTGCACACTTGGTCTCCATCATCCAACAGCATGCCATTTCTTTTTCCATGGCTTGAACATCATCCTAGACCTTTGACATCCTGTGGTAGTTACTAGGGAACATCATTACACATAGATGATAGATAATATATCTGTGTAATATGGTTGCATATCTAGTAAACATTCATCTTTCCCCGAGACTTATTTATTTTGGTTGCATGCATCTTTTTCCTTTAGTTTTGATGAGTTCTGCTATAAAGAAACCTATGTAATATTTTTCAGGATTCGGTAAATGAACACTAGTTTGATGGAGATTAGATTGTAGTTGTCTTCTTTTCATGGCATACTGTTTGAGGGAACAGATGCTGAGTTTAGGCAGATTTCACATTTGCACACTTCACAGCCATAAAATACAGAAATGCAATCTGAATTTCTGACCTGTTGCCCTCCCATAGTAAAATTTATAGCATGTTTAAATAAGTGCTTTCCAGCAGGGAGTGTATGCGTTGGTGTTCACCCGTCACTTCCACAATTCCACATGCAAAGAAAAGAACAGCAGCACTAGTACAATCAGGGAAACCCTGTGTAACTTCAGTCAGAGCACAGACTCTGAAGCCAAGCTTCTGGGGTTGAAAAGATGATTCCATAAATGACTTGCTGTGAGATAATGGTGAAGTCCCCTACAACTCTGTCACTTTACCCATCTGCAAATTGGGAATTATGATACATATTATATATAGCTTTTGTAATGATTCCAAAATTAATACAAACAAAATGCTCCACTTACTACATGGGACTTCTCTCTTCTACACAGGGCTATTTTCAGGATTCTTCATAGAGACATGAACTTTGATAAGAGCAAATACTTTAGAGACTGATTTACTGACACATAGACATGCATAGTAAAACTGACTTTATAATTTGCATGGAAAAATAAACTAGCAATAATAATCATAGAACAAACATAACAATTTGCAGTAGTAAAAATATCCCCAAATTTGTGAATTACTTATTTCTAGAAAGTGACTTTAATTTGTTTTAGTCCATGGTTTCCTGGAGTAACTGAAACCACAGGAAGTGAAGCCACAGAGAATGGAGGAGAATTACACCCCTGACACATCACAAGCTGGAGATAACTGCCAGTTACTACTATTTTTCTACTTTCTTGTTTTTGTTTATTACTATTTAAAATAAGAACCATTTTTCTACTCAGAAGATCCAGATGTTACTAAGCGCAGTGAAAGGTCAGCATGTCTAGGTAAGATCTGAACACTCGTGAAACAAGGAATAAAACTGTTCATTTAAAATATGATATTACAGAATTCAAGAGAATCCTCCGGACAGAAGGTCACAGTCGGGCCAAACAACTCCCTGACGTTTTCTTCTGGGAATCCTGAAACCTGGAGCCCTGGTCTATCATCTTACACCTCCTTGTTTGCCTATGTTGGCAAAGGTCCTCGCCAGCTGTGCTTGTTACTTCTGCTCCCATGATCCTCTGGAAAGAGGGAAGTTTATGTTTACCCTTGGTGCTGAGTCATTTTCCAAATGCCATTGGATGGAATTCTCAATCAGGACTCGTGAGTTTCCAATGAAATCACTCCTCTGGCACCTGTGGCCTTGGGCGCCGATGACAAGCACATGGGTATAAATACCAGAGGACAGAAAGGCTGCATTCAGATCCCGGTCCAGATGGCGAGGGCTGCCATGAGGGCCTGCGTCTTTCTTGCCTTCCTGGGAGCAGCTGGTGAGTGTGGTCAACGAAACCGTCCAGGCATCTCCGTGTGTATGTGAGTTTGTGCACATGTGCGCTTGCTGAAACACAAATGTGGGTAGTGTGCTGCCTTTACTTAAGAAGTGTAACGTGCTGAACGTAAGGTGTGTAGTACATCTGTACAGAAAATCAAATCAATCTTCTGGGAGGAAGTAATGAACTGGGTGATCAACAACAACAACAACAAAAAAAAAAAAGAAAACTGCTTCAGAGTGCAGGGAATAAATGATCAAAATTCAGCATGAACTTCCAGGAAGAATTTCCTGAAAAAGACAAAAAAAGGAAAGGATTTTGGAAAAGCACTTGTCTAGACTTATTTAAGAAGGTGGAGTTAATGATGGAAAATAGTCTGTGTCCATTGAAAAGATTGTGAGTGTCCAAGTCTAATTGTCCTCGATATTCTCACAAGCACTGGTTATTTTCACAAGGAGTCCTCGTGGAGAAAGTTGTGCTGCTCCTCTGAGGTCAAATTTCTTGACCTGTTTTGTGCAATTGATTTGCGGTGAATGTTCTCTGGTATCAAGTCATTCTGTCTTTCCATTCTGAAAAAAACACGTGTATTTTTATTTTCATGTTATCCAGCTGTATATTCTGAAATTTTTATACTAAATTTTCACATTTGAAGGACTGGCAGTGTAGCTCAGCAGAGTAAGGGCTTGCTTAGGTAAGCGCAGGGGCCAGGGTTCGAACCCTGGCTCCACATGCCACGCTGGGCACCGGCCCTGGGGTGTACTGAGCCAGAGAGGGAGTCCGGGCATGGTGGCACAAGCCTGTAATCCCAGCACTTGGGAGGCAGGAATCAGGAGGATCACTATGAGTCTGGACTGTGTAGTGAGACTCTGCACAAAAAATAAATAAATAAATTTTCACATTCGATCAGCTGTAAATTCAATGCATCTGCCTGCCTACAAACCTGGAAATGTCTTTTCTAAAATTATTTTAATTATTGAGGAAAAATGGGCTCAGATAACAGAATTATAGTTTCAGGGCTATAACAAAATTTGATAACTACTAACTTTCCAAACCCCAACTGTATTCATAGCTATAAGGAAATAACTTAGATAAGGGGAAAGTTTAGGAAAATGGAATTCGTAATATTCTCTACAATGATTTATAACATACTGAGCCTAGAACCAAAATGAGAAATTGACTGAAGATAAGTACAAAGCCCTTTTTCTCTTCCAGAGAAAAATATTCTAAGTTACCCTCTGACATAATGAACAAAACCATGTCCTGCTGACACAGAATCAACCACTTACCTCCAAAAAAGGGAATTAATGCCAGGATTCTGTACATTTGTATAAATTTTGAGCAGCATTCTTGATAAAAATAAATTTTATACCCTCAGGAATGTCCAAACATGTGTCAACTAGAGACCCACTGATCTTTTTCTATTTGAGGACATCCATGTGCCTGTGTGTGTGTGTGTGTGTGTGTGTGTGTGTGTGTGTGTGTGTGTATAAAACTGATAAGGCAAACATAAGATAATATATATTACTTTTAAACCACACATTAAACATGTCACACTTAAACAGTAACATAAGGAAAATACCTGTTTAAAATATAGGAAAATAAATTTTTCAAGATGTTACCAAGATGCTATCATTTCCTGATATGCAGCGCAAGAGTATTGCCCCCTCTTTTCTCATTGGATAGTCTGCAGAATGTTGATGGTGCTGTAGAAATTCCTGAAACTTACATTCAACTGGGTTCCTCACTTTTCCTCATCAGTCGCTTTCCCCCCTGATGGTGACGATGACAAGATCGTTGGAGGCTATGAATGTAAGAAGAACTCCCTCCCCTACCAGGTGTCCCTGAACGATGGCTTGCACTTCTGTGGCGGCTCCCTCATCACTGAGCAGTGGGTGCTGTCCGCAGCTCACTGCTCTGAGCCGTAAGTGGACAGCATTGCCCTTCTACTCTCTATGCTCAAATAATCCTCCAACCCCAATGGATAACCAAGGCACACTAGCGCTGTGCACCGTGGATAAACCATGCAGTGCCTGAGAGCTGCAGCAGCCCTCAGGATTCATGAGATGGACTGAGGAGCATCTACGGAGATACCCTTGAAGGTCCTCATGGCTTTGTGATCACATTACCAAAGACATGGAAACCATGACCGATGGAGTTTTTCTTACAATGTTTTAGAGAATTAATCATTATATAGTAATATTATTAGGGCTCAAGAAGAAAATTATGAAACACCATGTGAATATAATAAATATATCAGATATCTACTACATTAAAAAAAAGCCTAATTTATTCTCTTCCCTTGATATCTGACTGCTATCACTGATACTTCCTCGTCTTTCTGTGAAGCTCAGTGATCCCAACCAAAGCACGAATGGCAGATGCTGCTCAATCCTCACCTCAATTTGCATGTCTGTTGGCCAAGTAGGAGTTGTTCAGTTCCTATTCCTGAGCCTTTCAGTTCTAACAAGATGCTGAGATGGGTGTGGGCCCTGGCAGGGACATGAGAGCAGGGAATTCTATAAACTTCCCCATGCAAGGTGGTGCAGTGCTAGTTTAAGTGCTTATTGCCTCTGTCAGTGAATGCGTAAGGAGGTTTCCTCTGCTCATGGCTGGTAGGTTGGCCAGAGCAGACATAGCTCAAGTTCGATAATAGGAAACTTGGACTCTTTTTAATCCAGGCGAATCCAAGTTCGTCTGGGAGAACACAACATCCATGTCATTGAGGGTGGTGAGCAATTCATTGATGCAGCCAAGATTATCCCTCATCCTGATTATGATAAAAACAACTTTGATAATGACATCATGCTGATTAAACTGAAGACACCAGCCACCATCAATGCACGAGTGGGCATCATCACTCTGCCGAGAGCCTGCCCTTCAGCTGGTGCTCAATGCCTCGTGTCTGGCTGGGGCAACACTCTGAGCATTGGTGGTAAGTGTCTCCGGCAGTAAGAAGACTAAGTCTGAACAGGTGAGAAAATGTTAGTCTAAATTTGCACCCAAGGCACTGCTCCAAGAGTCAGGCTTCCAGATACAGGAAGTATATATGGAGGTGAGAAAGATGCCTCTCGGGATACAGTGCAAGATGTAACATGTATGAACTGCTATAGAACAGCGAAAGTGTTTAACTGAAATTGATTAGAGGCTTACAAAAGGCTAGAAACAGAAGAGGAAGACAGAGCCATGATGAAGGCCTCAGTGCTAATGGAAGTGTACATTTGCTTGACAAAACATTTCTGGACTTGACTTCAGTGTCCACTGATGCTGGTGTCAGAGAAGTAATGACTTGGTGACCAGAACTGCTTGATGAAGCATTTAGGAAAGGTGTAATCTCTTTAATCATTAGACGTTCACGTATGGAAACAAAGAGTAGAAGTTGTGAGATAGTGAATGAAAATTCCATTGATGCTCTGTGTAATCTCCTTGTCCTCTCACCCTTCCACTCAACAGTCAAGTACCCTTCCCTCCTGCAGTGTCTGGATGTCCCTGTCCTCTCTGACACCGTTTGCCACAAAGCATACCCGGGTCAGATCACTAGCAACATGTTCTGCGCGGGCTTTGTGGAAGGTGGAAAAGACTCTTGCCAGGTGAGCTCTTTCATACTTCTTGGTTCTCCCTAGTATCTTCCTCCTCCATCATATTTTTCCTATTTTGAACCACAGAGGAATTTACAACTGTCCTTGATGCCAAATATAAAAAGAAATAGATATCATTGGAATAAATTGTAAATTCTTTATGGTATTCATGATTAAGTTGTAAAAATGATTCACAGGAATTAATTTTAAACGGTGAATCCAATTAGCAGTCTCCAACAGTATATTATGGAAGGGATCCCTTTGGAAAGGTCCAGAGTAGTTGACATGGCTATAAATCTCCTCAGCCTTCTGCTATAAGCCTAAAAGGAATGGGGAGGGCTCTAAGAAAGGAAGAATAAAGTTGCAACATATAGTGAAAGTTTCAATTTCTGGGAATGTAGAGGTTGCTTCTCAGAGGAATTTCAGTCTAAAAAGAGTCCTAATGTAAGAGAAGATCATCTTGAGTCAAACACAAAAACAGACAAACAAACAAACACTCTCAGAAGCCCAGGGGATGTCAACAGAAGTCCTACTTACCTTTTCACTCTTACTCAGTGTGATTCTGGTGGCCCTGTGGTTTGCAATGGGCAGCTCCAAGGAATCGTCTCTTGGGGTTCTGGCTGTGCTCTCAAAGGCAAGCCTGGGGTCTACGCCAAGGTGTGCAACTACCTGGACTGGATTCATGAGACCATCACAGCCAACTGAACACCATCATTTCTCAGGTTCCACAACTGGAGTCAGTTTCACTTTTCTTCTGTGCCCAAAATTTATATATGGAAAATAAATTTTTCTCTGCATCATACTTTTCCCTGATGGTCTTTGTTTTTCATAAACTTTCAAATCACAGTGCAGAGATAGAAATTGGAAGTATTTTACTGGGATATTTGAAAGACTATTCCACCATCCATCCAATCAAATGAACAGACACTTACTTCTCACCTCCACATGGCAAAGCAGGTGAGATGCTGAGAATAGAAGGCAAGTGGGTCACATTTCCCAGCACTCAGTTCTTCAGGTCTTTTTAAGCTTCCACCAGTGACCACACACTGTAGCTCCCGTTAGTGCCTGGCACATGTCTGTCTTTCCTGCACAGGCTTTCCTTCCTTAGTTTGTCTAGAGAAGACCTCTGATCAAGTGACTTCTCCACCTTTCTCTCCGAGGCTTTCTATGATTCCCCCTCACAAGAGCTCTGCTCTCCCCCATGCCCATAGAACCTGGGAGCAGTTCCAGGCTTGGCATAGGTGTGCATCCCTTACCAGCACCAGGTGGTGAGCAGGACCTCATGCTGACTCTTGCCTTTTACTAATGACACTGTATACATATATTCGGGATGAGTGAAAGTGTCATGTGATGTTCCTCTCTCTACCAAAATAGAAGGTGCTATATATGGTACAAAGGCTTGTGCAGGAGACCCCCAAGTTGTGCTCTCCTGAGTAGTGATGTGCAGTGAAGCCCCTTATCTCATTATTTCCTTGACCCGTAGTTCAACCATATTTTTTTTTAAAGTTTTTATTTTTTTATTATTTATCATGGTTGCATCTTTTTTTTTTAAATCCAGTTTTTATTTATTTATTTATTTGTGTGTGTGTATGTGTGTGGCCAGCTCAGCCCACCAGGGGGCGGCGCTGGCTGGCATGTGGTGCTGGGGGATTCAACCGCGGTCCCTGTGCTTTGCTAAGCTTGTTCTAAGTAGGTGCTTTAGACCACTGAGCCATCTCACCAGCCCAGTTCAACCATATTGAACCAGCTGTTGCTTTAATTAGATAAAAGAATATGATTGAGTCTGGGTGAGAATTACCAATCCCTTCCTCCATGGCTGATGAGATTCTAGGGCTACAACATCAGATAACATCTTAGCTGAAACTGTGGGACTTAAAAAGCATTATACCTTCCTGGCAGTAAAGGAAGGAAGTCGTGTACCCAACAAGCTACCAATTGTGTTGCTCTTTAGAGGCCTCTATGCCTACTACAAAATTGCTGTTTCTTCTTATAGCCAACGCCTTGAAAAATCTCATTTCCATACCACTCTGCAGCAATGACCATTCATATACCTGGTTAGTAGCAATAAAAGCCATGAGTTTTGAACTCATGGCCTTCTGTTCCACATTAAACATTGGTCATCCCAGAGCTCCTCAACTGCAAAATAATCTTTCTTTCACACCCATCTATCATATTGCCAGATGGGAGCCCTGAACCCTCCACAGGGGTTTTGGTAGACTTGTACTTCGAAAGTCAGGCAATAATGGACAAGAATTATTCATTTATAGCTTCCTAGCCTTTTGTGCCTTGATAAGGCTGATGCAGGGATTTCTTTACAATCTGACATTATTCCATTCTTGTCATGGAACAGTTTTCTGCGGAGCTCTGACTACTCAACCACCATGTCATTCTGTTTTGATTTCCCTAATTGCCAGTGAAAATCTGCGCTTGATTTTGGTCTGAGGTGCTTCCACAGCCCAGGGGAAGTGATTGAGGACTATGGATTGGTGTTAGGATATAAACTCCAGAATCTTATAGGTAGATGGGTGCAGCCAGAGACCATACTCCTAAGTGAAATAAATCAGACCCACATGTGTGAACATTGTACAGTCTCCCTTGTATAAGAAACTGAAAGGGTAAACAAAACCCGAAAAGTACAATAATATTGTGAAAGCGAAAGAAACTACTCCAAAGGAATGAACAACTAGAATGAGAAAAAGGAGACGAGAAGGAAGGGATGATGCTAGCTAAGATAACTGTACATCTGATTTCTTTTGATTTATGGAAGTTATGTGTAATTTTTAAAATTTTCGACCAATTTGTATGCTTAAATCTGGTAATCTGAACAACTACTTTGCAGATAACAGTATGCAATATAACAGCCATGGTTGATTTCCTAAAAAAAGAAAAAAATCCTTTTAATGACATCTGAGCAGGAAAAATCTTGAGCAGGAGTGGAGCTCAGGCTCAGTCTACCTAGGTCCCTTGTGAAGTTTAATTTTGTCCATCCTGTAGGTTCTCTTCTCAAAGCGCTGGGCCACATTGCTTTGATAGAATGTGTATGTCTGAAGAATTTGGTAGCAACAGAGAGAACGAAGCACATTCAGGTTGTCTGTCACATCTAACCAAACGCAACTATTGCAGTGGGATCAACATGACTGTGACGATTGTGCACATTGTACAAAATCTCATAAAAATTTTTTCACAACTCAATCACACCTTCAATATTTTAAAGACTCTGTCTCTTTACAAAATTCTTTCACAATTTTCCTCAGTGACTTTTGTAACTCATCCAAACTTACTTTTGGACTATATAACATTTCTTATCTTGGAATTGCAGTCCTCTTTTGGTAAAAATTTTCTCCGTGAACTGGATTGTAAGTCTGAAATTTTATTCTATTTATGGAATTCAACTTAACAAGGGACAAGGTCAAAGGGCACATCCTAGTTCCAGGACAGGCCGGCTGGTTGAAATTCTTGCTGAGCATTTTAAAATTTCATGTAAATCCCACTCTTGTCAGAACGCCATTATGTTTAAGAGCTCAAAAATAAATTTCTCCTTCACTGTCCCCAATGCTATTTAATGATTCATTAATATAATAATGACATATTTGAAACATGAATCAAAAGAAAAAGAATAAGACAGCTTTTATTTATTTTTTTTCTTTCTGTATTTTAGGGAAGGCTCTACAGGGTGTTCAGGGTCTCACTACTAGATCTGATTCATAGTGATTCTCCTGTTTACAGCCTCCCAAGAGCTGGGATTACAGGTGCGCACCACTATACCCAGTCTCCATCGCTGTCTCAGTGCACCCCAGGAACAGGGCTGGCAAGACAGGCCTGGGGATTGAAACCTGGGCCCCTGCACCTGTTTGCAGGGACTTTAATCCAATGAGCTACTTGGCTGGCCTTTTTTTTTTAAAGAATACAAAATGTTAATAGAAAAAAAACAGCATTAGAAATGATACAAAATTTCACTAAACCAAGTAATAGGAATTCAACAGTGATTGATATATTGCATGGTGTTATCTTCAAATTAGTTGTTTAGGTTACCAGATATAAACATGCAAGATTGGTTTAAAGAAAACAAAACAATAATTAAAAAGTTATAAGAAGTTCAAAAGAAAAAAATAATAAGAATAAAAAGAGGTCTGGGGAAATAGTTCATTGGCTTAAGCACCTGCCTGGCAAGCACAAGGTCCTGAGTTCAATCCCTGGTACCCAAAAAGAATCATAAGAATAAAAAGGAAAAACATTTAAGCATTAATTGCTCCTTTCAAAAGACCAGCAGAATTCAGCAGAGCAATTATCCAAACTATCCTGTATATATACACAAATCTATCTTTTTCCCTTCTTTTGTTAAGAGAGCTTTTCATTTCCTTTCTTCATGGAATAATTGATGAAATATTTCCATGTTATCACTCCATCATAATTTAAATCAATAATGCTCCTTTTTAACTTTTCTAAAAATTTATAAAAAGTCTACCTCAGAACAAAAACATCTTCATTCATATGTAAGTTATCAAAAGCAATAGCAGGTTACTTTTATCCAATTAAAAAATAATGATGACATAAATGTATCAGTGTCTAATTTTGCTGCCTTACTTTCCCCTTTCCTTTGTTGTTATGAATCATAGATATACTTTTAAAAATAAAGAAAGGTGTTTCTCCACCTCAAATGCATTTGGTCACTGATGTACCCTTTAAATGAAGTTGCCTCATCTTTCAATTTATTGGAGTAGCATATGTTGGAACAAAATGTTCTGTATGTCTGTCTTCCTTGCATGAAGGTCATGATACAACTAGGAGCACATAAGTGTAAGCCTGATTTCACTAAACAAAGTAACAGGAAATCAACAATGGTTGCTGATAGGTTTTGATAATGTCGCAGCAGAGAAACAGGCAGAAGAAAAAAAGGAAAAGGGCTTTATTATAAAGGGAAAGGGGCTTCATTATCTTGGAGGTGAATAAGGGCTTTTGCTCTCCTCTAAATCATCATTGTTGCCTCCTTGTTGGAATCTTCTTTATGTAAGAGCTTGAAATCCTGTACATAAAGGACTTCATTTTAGTTCCTGATCTTTGATAGAACAATTCCAACTCTAACAGCCTTTTAAGCAGCCATATTTCATCAAAATCTAACAAATACAAAATGAAGATCCTGGATTCAATCATATCTACCACCACTTCCACCACCACCAAAAATATGAAATCATAGGAGGGACAACTCTATTTTTAACATATAGTAAATTCTAGGGGAAAAAATGTAAGTTGTTCTTTTACTTTTCCATGTTTATCTATTATCATTTCAAGTAAGAACTATTTTTTCTCTTATTAGGAGAACAAGTTGTTCCTAATAATACTGAAAATTTAATAGGGAAGAATGAAATCAGAACTGCCATCAGACAAAGTATATAAGCGTGAAACAGCTAGTGTTGTCTAACCTCAAGGGTACAGGGCTCAAAAGCATCTTTAGGGTAAATGTTCAGAATGAGTCAGCCAAGTCCCTGACATTCTTGACTGGCAGCTGAGAAATCTGTAGATTTGTCCTGTGAACCTTCCCCTACTTTTTTCCCAGAACAGGAAAAGTTCCCACAAGGTGTGTTTGTCACTCCCTTTCCCATGACCTTCTGGAAAAGGGCAAGTGGATGTTTAAATTTGCTACTGAGTCATCACCCACATGTCATGGAATTGAATCCTAAATTTAGATCTGTGAGTTTACATTGGAA